GATTCCAGTAGGCAATTAATGGCCATCTCAAGATCTGTAGAGAAATAAAAAGCACAAAAGATTTTAATCAATTCATACAATATACATTAAATTATACATGTACATGTACTCTCAAATTTTAGTAGGATCACTTGCAAAATTCCCCCATCAACACGTGTACATTGAAACCATTGTGTGGCTAGTTTAGCAAACATGATCTTACATGTACATGTACATGTATAATATTATGTCACTAGCCTAGTCCTTTCTGCCCAAGTTTTTGGCAAAATTAAACGTAAACTGGTAGAAGTCCTTGAACTGTTGTGAGTCCTGTACCTCACAATTAATGGTCTCACACCTTTTATGGAGTTTATCTATGGAATCACACCTAAAAGAGGGAGAGGGGGAGAGAGAGGGAGAGAGAGACAGAGACAAAGAGAAAGAATTATACATTTATTTGTAGAGAAAATGTGAATTATGCTTTCATGCTTAAAGCAAAACTCATGAAATACAGTGATAAGAACATGTACAACATAATAGGAGAATGTTCATGTGCAATGAATGTGTCCATCAATACACACACTGCATGTACTGTACCTTCCAAACAGAGAAGAGATCCTTCAAAAACCGTCAACTGCTTCATCAAAGTATCACCTAAACACTAGTAATATGTACTAGCACAATGAGGATACAGTAAATGACCATTGGGATCAAACTTCATATCTCTGAACTGACTTGCATGAATAGGAAGAATTGCAATGAGGCTGATCTAAACACAATCTACAGACATGTAAAATTGTATATGTACATGTACATGTAAAATAATAATGTCAATGAATTATAATGTCATGCATCAAACAGGTCTACAAAAGTAACAGTGTGTAATATACATATGTACATACATGCACAGTAAAATAATCATACAATTATTAATGAACCTCTCACCCTGGTAGAGTCAGTCACCATGCACTCCACTCTTGACAGTTTCCCCTTTAGTCCACAATCCACTGACTCTCAACAACATACCAGCAAACAATAGCTTCCTTGATATGTACACTCCTTTATCAATCTATGAGTCAATAAGAGTTAAGAGAATACATGTACAGTATATACCAGTGAATTGGTAAACCTCCACATGTATATTATAGTCATACATGTACATACAATTGAGCCAATAAATATTACACTTGCACACTATACATGTAGCAACATTTACATGTAAATGCAATAAACATAAATGTACATGTACTCCATGCTGATACTATACATGTACATGTATACTGTACACTGTTTGTTATCAACCGTAGAATATTAAAACTTATTAATTCATTTAGCTTTCGGTATACCAATTTTTAAGAATGCATTGATTATATTAAATATAATAATAGCTATAGATTTAAATTTATGAAGGTATTGTATACATATTCTCATTTACATGTATAATCTTTCAAATATTGACTCATTGTATCATTATGGTATCACTGTATCACTAATAGCTCTTACATCAAACAGGCACGTACCCTGTGGCTACCAGACACCTCTTATAGCAACATCAGCCCAAAGACTCTCAGAGGATGAGCTTTCATCTACCATGGGCTCCTTGATGGTTTGATGCCAGA